TTATATGAGACACAAGCAAGACAAGTGAACAACTTTCAAGAATTACCAATCATACAAATGTACACATGAGTTGGGGGTAAAGAGAAAAACTAAGAAAGGTTGCACTAGGATACTTCTTTAGACCTTTTACTAGTTCATTAGAGCACATCTAGATATTCCAAAGTTGCAACAAGCCCTTTTTCGGTTATAAAATCTCAAAATACAAGTCCACCTCCCAAAATGCACTCCCAATCCCCTTTAACTACACTCTAACTTGGGAATTTACACAAGAAACATCAAAATAGACAAAGTGTGGGAGGCGTCCACAAGTTGACCTCTAAATAAGAAAAAGTTAAAATTTTGAAAATTTTGGAGGAGTTTTTTTATCTCCCTTTCTATTTCTATATTTTTTTTCTTTTGATTTCTCTTTTTTTTTTCTTTTTCTTTTTTTTTTTACATTCATTGCCCTCGCCTCTTTTAACTGTGAGCGGCTCTTTCTTTTTTTTTTTGGAAAATAAGATTTTATTACCAAAGAGAGAAAGTTACAACTTACAAAAGCTAAGTTATAACTACCACCAGAACACCGCAAGACCTGAAAAAAAAAAAACAGGCCAACCCGAAAACCAGTTCTAGATCCAATCCTAGCCACCTTCTAGGAAGGGTTCTTGGAAGGGCCTAGAACAAGCTGGACTCAGATTTCCAGCCACCTTCTAGGAAGGGTTCTGGAAACCAGGACCAGACAACAACACAAGCAACAAACAACAAGGCCATACACTCAAAAACCACCAAAAACAACAATCAGAAGCAGACAGTCAGTAGAGCAGAAACAGCACAGACAACAGACAGAGCCAGCAGCAGGAGAAGACAACAGACAGCAGACAGCAGAGCAACAACAGACCAGACCAGGAGCAGACAACAGACAGCAGACACCAGGAGCAGACAACAGCTGCACACAGCACCAACCAGACCAGAACAGCAGAGCAAGCAACAGACCAGACCAGCAGATGCATACAGCAGCAAAGGCAGCACACAAAACACTCCTGCCAGCAACAACAAAAACAACAACAGATGTAACTGGGATTCACAACAGCAAGAGAATAAAAGCACCAGCGAAACCCAGCACCAAATAAAGAGCCCAACGAGCAACCAAAACAAGACAAATAAACAATAACCCCAAGAAAAAGAAACCAAAACGCAAACACTAGGAGCCAGAAACAAGCTCCTAAGCGATCAAATATTTGCTTCTCGCTGGGATTCTACAAACTGAATGAAAGACAATATCCCTAACTAGAGCATCAACAGATTTGCAACAACCAGTAAAAAGAACTGCATTCCTTTGTATCCAAATACCATAAACTGTTTCAGTGAAGGCCACCTAGATCACTTTGTTTTTCAATCTGGAACTTCTGCAGATTTTCTTCATCCAATCAACCTCATCACTAAACTGCTGAACAGGCTTGGAAACATGTAAGATATCCAACACCTTGCTCCAAACCTTCCTAGAGAAATCACAATCAAAAAATAAATGTTGAACACTTTCATTGCTATTCAGACACAAGAAACACCTTGGATCACAAGAAATTTTCCATTGAAGCAACCTATCCTTAGTGACAAGCCTATTCCACAAAGCTAGCCACAAGATAAAACACTTTTAGGAGTTGCTAAGTTATGGAAAATAACTCTCTTCCAAGGAACTTTAGGCACTTGAGGCCTAATAGCAGCATAAAGCTTCTTGATTTTCAACTTGTTGCCCTGTATGAAACCATCCCATCCCCCTTGATCATTCACAACATCTCTACAACTCAAAATCTTCTTCAAGAACCAAGAACATCTAGTAGGGGTAGGGGTGGTCCAACAATCTTTATGCTTGAAGTAGTAGATATGAACCCACTTAACCCAAAGATTATCAGCCTTGTGAGCAATATCCCAAAGTAACTTAGTAACAGCTGCTTTATTCCACTCAGGAAGAGAAACCAAGTTCCAGCCACCACAAACATTATGAAGGCAGACATTATTCCAAGCAACCAAAGATTTCTTAGCAGGGGCAGAGGATCCAGTCCAAAGAAAACACCTGAACCTAGCCTCAATCTCTTTCAGAATTTTCTTCGGTAGAATAAAAATTTGAGCCCAATGAGTCTGAATACCAAACAACACACTCTTCACCAATTGAAGCCTCCCATCATAGGACAAGTGTTTAGCCATCCACCCTTGGATTCTAGCAGTAACCTTTTCCACCAAAGGCCTACATTGAGCAATAGTAAGCTTCTTGGAAGAGAGAGCGACCCCAAAAAACCTAAAAGGAATGGTACCTTGAGAAACACGAAGAAGCTCCCTCAACTCTTTATGAACATCAACAGAGACCCCTCCAAAATAGACTTCACTTTTATCAAGATTAGCAGAAAGCCCAGAGGCACCCGAGAATTTCGAGAAGGCTTGGAAGAGAAGTTTAACAGAAACACTATCAGCTCTAGAAAACATCAATAAGTCATCAGCAAACATCATGTGAGTTAGGTTCAACTTTTCACATCTAGGGTGAAAGTTAAAATCGGGAGTTAACCTAAGCTCATCAAGGCATCTGGAGAGGTATTCCATACCAATAGCAAAGAGAAAGGGAGACATAGGGTCACCTTGTCTTAACCCTTTCTTAGCCTCAAAAGGAGGGGCAGGAAAACCATTAATAAGAATAGAGTAAGAGACAAAAGTAAGACAATTCCAGATCCAATCAACAAATCTCTAAAGGAAACCAAGCTCCTGCATGACAGTGATCAAGAATCCCCACTCAACTGAATCATAAGCTTTCTTCAAATCCACCTTAACCATACCCCTAGGAGAGATAAATTTGTGATCATAGCCTTTGATAAGTTCAGTTGCAAGAAGGATATTGTCACCAATGTGCTTTCCTGGAATGAACCCTGCCTGAGCATCATCAATCACCTCACCAATGACAGCAGCAAGCCTAGCAGTTATGACCTTAGAAATGAGCTTATAGACCATAGTACAACAGGCTATAGGTCTAAAATCCTTAACATGAGAAGCAGAAAGGACTTTAGGAATCAGAGTGATAGTTGTGCAATTCCATTGCTTAGGAAAAGTCCCTTTAGTGAAGAAATCAATAACACTAGCATAAATATTATCTTTCACAATATTCCAAGCTCTCTTAAAGAATAAGGAGTTAAAGCCATCAATACCAGGAGCTTTATTGTTATCAATTCCCTTACGGGCAACATCAAATTAAGCATGAGAAATAGGCGTAATGAGGTAGCTCTAAGCAGCAAAGCTAAGCTGCTTACCCCTCCTTATAGTGACAAGGTCAACAGCAGGGAGCCAAGGAGCTTGAGTCCCTAAAAGAGACTTATAGAAAGAGATAATTTCATGAGAAATAGCATCTGGATCCTTGAGCAACACATGATTAGAATCAAAGATGGAGTCAATTCTATTCCTTGCTTGTGTAGTCTTCATCACAGAGAAGAAATAGTGAGAATTGCCATCTCCAAGCTTAACCCAGTTGATTCTAGATTTTTGCTTGAAGATGCTTTCCTGAATATCATTCCAGTGTTTGACAACCTTAATAGCATCAGATTCTTTAGCATATAAATCCAAATAATCAGGATTCTTGGCCATTAAGTTTTTAATTTTAGAAAGCTCAACATTGGCCACACAATCTTTTCCTCAATGTTACCAAACTGCTTGCTATTAAGAGACTTGATACTAGACTTCACAGAATTAAGCTTCTGCCAAACAGAACTACCAGAACCCCAAGCCTGCGAAACAGTATCAAGAAAATCAGGGTGATCAGCCACACAGTTTAGAAATCTGAAAGGTCTACCTTTCCCATCAGGGCCAGAACAAATATCCAACAGAACTGGACTATGGTCAGATAAAGAATGAGGGAGATAGACAGTCTCCACATGCCCATTATGCCACTTATTATGCCACTTATTACACAAGATACAAATAGATACAATTCCCTAATAGAGTTTCATTATTTTGGGGAGGAGGGGAGGAACATCAAGGGCACAAGGAACCGCAATTCGATTCAAACATATCCTACTTTGGGCAAATTTGACAATATCCTACGCTAGACGTGCAATTGAGCATTCATCGGTTTCCATTTCATATACTCTAATGAAATCAAGATTAATAAGCCTCGAAATGACCCCAACTCTAGCATACACCCTTTTAAAAGAACTTTTACTCATCACTCAAGAGTCAAGAAAGCAAATCATATAAGCATTGTCATTTGAGTCTCACCCTTAGGCATTTTTTCGGGTTTTTTTTTTGTTCATTTTTTTTACTGCTAGAAAGCAAGAATATTTACAATGTTAAGTTAAGCTAATCATAAAAATAAAACATAAATTACATCTAAATAAGGAGAGAAGAGAAGTATTCACACATGATCAGAAGTTTGGATTTAAAGGAAGCAAGTTTGGATTTAAGGGCTTTGGATTAAAAAGGGAAATGAAACAACCAAAACAAACAAAACAAAAATAAACCAAAATTCCAAGGAATGAAAATGACTCCCCCCCCCCCAAGCTGTCATAAACATTGTCCTCAATGTTAAGCAATAAAAGCATATAAAAAGGGGGAGAAAGAAGACTAACTCAAGGATCGGGCCTTCTTTGAAGCTTGAACCTCCTTGGTATCTTTGTTCTTGTTGGTTTTTGTTGGAAGACTTTAATTTCACTTTTTGTTTTTGTTGTTGTTGTTGTTGTTGTTGTTGTTGTTGTTTTTTCTTTTTAACAACTTAATCCATACAAAAAAATACTCGAGTTGCCTCCCGGAAACGCTTCTTTAGCGTCACTAGCTTGACGACATTGCGCTATCCGTAATTAGGGAGGGTCAAGACACACCTTTTTGACCCATCTCATTGTTCCCACACACTTGCCATTTTCCTTAGGCAAAACAACCACATTGCTATCATCACTAGAAATGCAATCAAATAATTTCTCCATCAACTTAATCTTGTTTCTTTTTTTCTTATTGACCCTCTTTTGCTTTTTCACCTCCAAAGCATGAGTCAATTATTGTGGCTCCTCCATGTCTTCTTTCAAAGTATTAGCCAAAACATCGATCTGATGAACTTGTTTCATTATGGGCTCACTTGAAATTTCCGGAAATGAGAAGAAAATATTTTCATTCCCAACATGCAAGCTAAGTAGTCCTTGTTTCATATCAATGTTAACACCCGCGGTTTTAAAAAAGGGCCTACCCAATATGAGAGGTGCTTTGGAATCCTCATCCATCTCCATGATTACAAAATAGCAATGCATAAGAGCCTTCACCACTTGAATCGGGATGTCCTTTAAGACTCCCAATGGGATTTTTACCGAGTGGTCGGCTAGTTGGATTGACATTTTGGTGGGACTTATATCCCCAAGATTCAACCTTGTAACCATAGAGAGAGGCATAAGGCTAACACTAGCCTCAAGGTCACACAACGCATTTGTTGATTCAAGATCCCCAAGCTTCACCGGTGTAGCAAAACTACCGGGGTCACCAAACTTCTCGGGAAGCTCATTTTTAGAAATATCACTTATCTCCGTTGGAAGGAAGATAGAATCACTCTCCTTAAGCCTACTTTTTAGTAAGAAAATCTTTCAAAAACTTTGCATATGTAGGCATTTGTAATAAAGCATGAAAAAGTGGAATGTTTGATTGAAGTCCTTTCATTTCATCAAGGGACTTGGAAAGTTTCTCATTTAGCTTCTTCTCTATCATTCGATGAGGGAATGGAATACGAGGCTCATATGCTTTCAATGGAGCTTGGCTATGCACTTCTCCCTCGTCTCTCTTTAAGGCACCCTCATCACTCAATTTTAAGCTTCCTCTCGCTTCCTCACTCACTTCATTTACAAACTCACTTTCATCTACCCAACAATATCCCTCACCTCCTTTTTTGGTGACCTCTTCTCTCATAATTGGAGCTTCATACCCTCCTTCCAAAATCAAGGTGATTAATTTTGCATGCTCTTTTGGATTCATTACCGTTGTGCTTGGAAATTAACCACCGGGGTTAGAAGGGCATCCAACTTGATGCACAATTTGAGATAATTGACTTTCAATCATATTATTGTGTGCTTGGAGTTGTTGAATTGAGCTACTAACTTCCCCATTGATCTTGATTTATTGGGTCATGAACGTTTCCAAAACGGATTCAATGTTGGATTTTTGAGGAGGAGGGGCTTGATTGTATTGGGTTCTTTGTTGGACATTGTCTCTTTGGTTGGGGTGGCTATGGGGAGCTTGTTGTTGTAAATGGGGTTGATTGATATTGTTTTGAGGAGGAGGAACTTGGTTGTAATTGTTTTGAGGAGGGGGTGCTTGGTTGGGTTGTTTCCATACAAAATTTGGATGTTGTTTCCAACCTTGGTTATAGGTTTGAGAGTAAGGATCATTTCTCCCAGTAGAAGCCACATGCTCCGTTGTTGTAGAGTTTCAATAGGATGCCATGTGACCGTTTCCTCCACATGTCTCACAAGACATGACTTGCGAGGAGGAGCTACCGGGCACATTGTTCACTTGATCTAGCTTTCGATCTAACATATCAACCTTTGAAGCAATAAGATCTATTGCCTCAAGATCATGCTTGCCGCCCTTCTTAGGATGACTTTGTCTTTTGTCACCCCATAAGCATAATGCTTGGCAACCTCTTCAATCATTTTGTAGGCCTCGTCAATCGATATCAAGGTTGGCCCTCAAGGTAGGAGTAAGACCATCATAGAAGCTTTGCACTATGATCCATGAGGTGAAACCGTGGTGAGGGCATGCTCTAGTGTAATCCTTGAACCGCTCCCATGCTTTACACAAAGTTTCATCAATCTCTTGGTTGAAGTTGGTGATTTTCTGTCTTAATTCGGCGGTTTTCTCGGGAGGGCAATACTTCCCAAGAAATGCTCTAGTCACTTCATCCCAAGTAGTTAACGATCCCTCTTCAACCGTCCTCAACCAATGCAACATGTACATCCGAATAAACTCTTCCGAAATGTTATTTTTCTTGATAGTTGTGCACAATTCAAGAAATTTGTCCAAATGAGCAAAAGGACACTCATAAAGACTACCCCCAAATTGATCACTTTGAATCATACGGATGAGTTAAGGTGAAATCTCAAAATTGTTTGCATTTATGGTGGGGAGACGTATGCCACTCCGAAGTGTGAAGGCATTGGGGTGGTCATAGTCTCGTAGTAAAGGTGGAGGAGGATTGTTATCACCCATGATATCTTCGTTGTTGGTTTCAAAAACCTCTTCCGGATCGGAATCCGAAAATATAATAGAGAGCTCGGGTGTGCCTTGCAAAACTCTCCTCACGTTCCTCAAGGTTTTGTTCAACTCTAATTCCACGGGAATAAGCGGTGATTGCTTACTCTTTCGTGTCATGCAAAGTCAAACAAAGCTAAGAAAGACGTTAGCAATGACTATCATAAGTTAAAAACACAAATAGACAAAAATAGATAGGAAATCTATGATACATATACACACATTTAGTCTCATTCAACAATAATACATTCAATGTGACTTTGCCTCCCCGGCAACGACGCCAAAATTTGATAGGCCATCTTTGATCCTACCAAAGATAAAGTCCAATCACTTGGTCTCAATAGCTAATAGCAAGGGTAAGAAAGGGTCGAACCCAAGAGAGGCGTTGAATCAACCACCAAGATACTACCGTTTAAACAAGCTAACTAAAGTCGAAATTGGTTTGGTTTTATGTAGCAAGTACTAATTCAAATCAACTAATACTAAGGGGTGATTAACAATAATTAAAGAGTTCTACGGCTCGGGATATACCACTCAATTTTGTCACAAATCACAAATGGCATGTAGAAAAAAAAAGTAAATTAAGGGGATATTATAGGGGAAGTCATCTACAGCACCCAACTACTCTCTCATGCTAGAGGGATTACTTGAATCATGAATATAACCTACTCTCGTGGTTACAAAGCATAAAACAAGTATTAAAGCATAATCACGATGACAAAAACATTCCCTTGACTGGAAATTCCTATTCTCATGGCATTTCAAGTCAATTAAGCATAAGGGAGCTAACTCAAGTTCATCTCTCGATCCTTCGTTGAGAAAGCTTAGATAATAGTTCTAGGAATGTCCATATACAAGAACTAAGTAATTAAACCACTTATGCTCAACTAATTAACACCTAACAATTACCAAATTAACACATGCAACAATTAATTAGTGACTACATTGAGGGTTTTACCCAAACCCTAGAAAGTTAGACTACTCACAATCCATGGAGATTAAATCAATTAAGGAATTCAAGTAACTCATGAACAAGATTTAACAAAAGATTAAGCTAAATAACAATCTAAGAATACAAGAATTAAGCAAGATAATTAACAATCAAAGCAATTAAAATGGAAGAGAAGAGTGAGAAAATGTTACTTGAAGCTTCAACTTGAATAATAATGGTGGAACTTGTCTTCTACAATGATTGAGATTGAAATTTCCAAGCTATTAATTAAAATCTAACTAATGATTTGAGAATATTTGTGTTCTACAATAACAAATTAAGAGAAGGCACTCCAAACTTGGATCCCCCGTACAAAATGAGCTAAGAAGAGTATTTATAAGACCCCCAAATAAAGAGAACGAAGAAAACAAGAGTCCGGCTCGTCTCCAGGTCGGCACGGACATGCCAAAGGTTGCACGGACGTGCAGACCTATTAAAATACTAGCAGTAGCTACTGCATGACCTTGCACGGGCGTGCTTCATTCGGCACGGATGTGCTACTTATTGGCACGGACGTGCAAACCTTTTCTAGCGAAATAGCTTATTTTCGGAAGGTCATAACTTCTTCGTTACTCATAGGAATAAGGCATGTGACCAGTCGTTGGAAGGCTCTTGAGATGAACTTTAATCTCCTATTTGAATAACTTCAAAATGTTGAGTGGAACAAAACTTATGGTCAGTTGAAGTTGACCTTAGTGCAAAACTCATTCCAAAACTTTCCAAAAGCTTTTCATTTCTCTTTAAGGCACTCATCCTTCTTCCTCCATTGCTCTATAAACCAAGATTTACCTTCTCCTTGTTCACTCATGCTTGATCACGTCCATATATAGTGCTAAAAATAGCTACATTACATCAAAAACACAAACAATCGGTAAAGCATGGATGGTGCAAAATTTGTATAAAAATAGGATAAATAATGAACTTTGATGTCGAATAATTACGAAAACAAGGTTCAAAAGTACCCTAAAATCATACCAAATAACAAGTTATCAAATCCCCCCAAGCTAAGCTTTTGTTAGTCCTCGAGCAAAAAAAAACATGTCAAATCAAGAAGGTAGATAACTTGCTAATGATCAATACAAGGAGTGGTAAAAAAGAGGAAACACAAAAACACAAATCCGCATAGTAACAACCATAAGCACTTTTAGCACAAGTGAAAAGCAATTTAAACCCCTAAGTCGCCTAAGAGGACGAGTTTTTTTCTCGTGAGGGTTTCCATTGAGCTTAACCCACAACTCACACAAACCACAACACATCATAAAAAATCATGCATACAATTTCAATGTTTTATTTTTCTGCCCAAGTCAACTCATCGTTATATGAGACACAAGCAAGACAAGTGAACAACTTTCAAGAATTACCAATCATACAAATGTACACATGAGTTGGGGGTAAAGAGAAAAACTAAGCAAGGTTGCACTAGGATACTTCTTTAGACCTTTTACTAGTTCATTAGAGCACATCTAGATATTCCAAAGTTGCAACAAGCCCTTTTTCGGTTATAAAATCTCAAAATACAAGTCCACCTCCCAAAATGCACTCCCAATCCCCTTTAACTACACTCTAACTTGGGAATTTACACAAGAAACATCAAAATAGACAAAGTGTGGGAGGCGTCCACAAGTTGACCTCTAAATAAGAAAAAGTTAAAATTTTGAAAATTTTGGAGGAGTTTTTTATCTCCCTTTCTATTTCTATATTTTTTTCTTTTGATTTCTCTTTTTTTTTTCTTTTTCTTTTTTTTTTACATTCATTGCCCTCGCCTCTTTTAACTGTGAGCGGCTCTTTCTTTTTTTTTTGGAAAATAAGATTTTATTACCAAAGAGAGAAAGTTACAACTTACAAAAGCTAAGTTATAACTACCACCAGAACACCGCAAGACCGAAAAAAAAAAACAGGCCAACCCCAAAACCAGTTCTAGATCCAATCCTAGCTACCTTCTAGGAAGGGTTCTAGGAAGGGCCTAGAACAAGCTGGACTCAGATTTCCAGCCACCTTCTAGGAAGGGTTCTGGAAACCAGGACCAGACAACAACACAAGCAACAAACAACAAGGCCATACACTCAAAAACCACCAAAAACAACAATCAGAAGCAGACAGTCAGCAGAGCAGAAACAACACAGACAACAGACAGAGCCAGCAGCAGGAGCAGACAACAGACAGCAGACAGCAGAGCAACAACAGACCAGACCAGGAGCAGACAACAGACAGCAGACACCAGGAGCAGACAACAGCTGCACACAGCACCAACCAGACCAGAACAGCAGAGCAAGCAACAGACCAGACCAGCAGATGCATACAGCAGCAAAGGCAGCACACAAAACACTCCTGCCAGCAACAGCAAAAACAACAACAGATGTAACTGGGATTCACAACAGCAAGAGAATAAAAGCACCAGCGAAACCCATCACCAAATAAAGAGCCCAACGAGCAACCAAAACAAGACAAATAAACAATAACCCCAAGAAAAAGAAACCAGAACGCAAACACTAGGAGCCAGAAACAAGCTCCTAAGCGATCAAATATTTGCTTCCCGCTGGGATTCTACAAACTGAATGAAAGACAATATCCCTAACTATCGCATCAACAGATTTGCAACAACCAGTAAAAAGAACTGCATTCCTTTGTATCCAAATACCATAAACTGTTTCAGTGAAGGCCACCTAGATCACTTTGTTTTTCAATCTGGAACTTCTGCAGATTTTCTTCATCCAATCAACCTCATCACTAAACT